CGAGCGGCTCTTCCACTCCTACTACTGCCAGGGACCGGGAGGCGACGGCGAGTGAGCGGGGACACGGGCCGGGATGGCACCCACCCTGGGGACTCTCCGGTGTCCTGCTCCCCCTCCCCGGGGTGCGGTGAGGCCCCAGGACCGGTCAGTCACCCAGCGTACACGTGGGTCACCAGCAGCACCGTCCACAAGAGCTGGGCAGGTGGCACCAGGCTCTCAACTGGAGGGACCCTCTGGGCACCTGCCTTTGCCAGCGCTCACAGTCAGCAGCCTGAAGGCATTTGTGTTGGAGAACAAACAAAAATGTCTCTGGGGTGGACACGGTGCTTTGAGAAGAAGAAGGTGTGCATGGCATGTTCCTGAGGGCAGCTGGGCTGGTGCTGGGTCCCAGCTGGGTGTTCACCAGGAATTGGCTCCATCTCATGCATCCTCCTGTGCCGCATCCTGGGGAAGAGGCTCTGAGCATCAGGGCTGCCGAGGGCAAGGGGTCACCAGCCCCTGAGGGAGGCACAGGGCCCCCAGCACAATCCTGATAATGAAGTTTTCAGTCTCAGCTGGGCTGAGAAGAAGGTTTTCTCCCTTTTGGTCACCAGCAGCTCGTCCTTAGGCCAGGCCAGAGCCCTGGCACCGCAGCTTTCAGGAGCAGCAGGGAAAGTCCTTGTCCCCAGGGCTCCCTTCCCTCTGCCTGCAGCCCCTGCTGCTCCCCGGGTGTTGTGGGTTACAGCAGCCCCGGGGCAAGGCTTCCTCTGGAACAGCAATAATTCTGTACAGTCTGATTCCTCTGGGTGCTGGGCTGGGGGTTTGTTACACGGGTACCAGGGGGTTTGTACCTGGTTTCTTTTCAGAATTTCATATGGCCTAGAGCTTTTTGTACAAAACATGATAAAAAAAATCAAAAACTGAAAAGCACATCCTGCCTGTGGGATAAAAAATAAACTGGCCTAAGGGTACCAAGGAGGTGCTGGCAGCAAGCAATGGTGGGAGAAAAGCCAGCACAGCTTACTGGGGGCTCCTGCTAAAATCTGCTACAGGAGCTGACTTCTGCTGATTCTATAGTCACATTTGTGAGCATCTTCCATGCAGTGAAGAGCCAATGAAAGGGAGGTGGGAAGGGTTAGAGCACATCTTCTGCAATCCTCCCAGGGTTCCCCTCCTGCAGCACAAACAGCATTAACAACTCCCAGACCTTCTTTGCTTGGGACAAGCATCTCCCAGACACTTCAGCCCTCTCCCCCTTTCCTGTCACAATCTGCTGCTGTTGCCCTGTTGCTCTGTGTAAGAGGGCCAGGGCTTGGCTCAGACAGCAGAAGAAGAGGACATGGAGGGGAAGCCAGAGGCAAGGTGCTTCTCTTTCCCCCATTGAAAGCCAAAGGGAACCACGAGAGGTTGGACATAACAGTGAAAAAATCTTTAATCGAGTTATGCAATATACAAAAGTTCAGGTTTTATGTAGATTAATTTCAGTATTAAAAGGCTGATTGCTCAGTCTCACCCTGGGCACGTTAAATATCTTACCTGAATTTCTACAAGAGCAAACAAAAGCCTAGAGCATCACCAGAGACATGTACAAATAACTTACATGACAGTTCTGCTCTCCCTGTGCTCTGTTCTCTCAAGGCCCAGGAGCCCCAAACAAGAGGGTTGTGTTTTGAGTCAGGCTTTTGGCTTTGGGAAGTTAAAGAAAAAAAATAAAAGACTAGGTATGAAATTTCTAGTGGGAATGGGGAGCAAGAAACTCTTTGGATACCAGTCAGAGCAAAGAACACCATTCCCACAGCATTAGGGGCTTCCTTGGGGCAAACCAGACCCTGCCCAGGAGCGGGAGCCCAGCTGTGTGACAGGAGGTGACAGTGGGAGCAGGGACGCTGCCAGACCTCCCCCTCCACAGCTGGGACAGTTTGGCACAGGTGTTGAGTCCGTCGAGAACAAGGTCTAAGCAGAGGGTTTGAGACGGGCTGAGACAGACTTTGAACTGAGGAGCTTCTCCACCATGGTGCGAGCGTAGCGCAGGCGGCTGGCCAGCTCCTTGCAGCACCCGTGCTCCTCGATGAGGCTCAGCTTGTACGTGCGGAAGTCCCGTTTCTCATCTATGTATGTGACAGCAGCCATGAGAGGGCACAGGATGACCTTGGTGTGGTCCTGTGGGGAGAGAGCACACTGTCACCCTGCACACTCTGCTCCTTGGGGACTGTGGTTTCTCAGGATGAGCCGTCCCAGCAGCGGTTGGAGTGTCCCAGCTGCGCCCAGCAGGGAGCTGACAACACACCACCCTGCAGCGTTTGTTCAGAGACTGCAGCAAAAGGAAACAGAATCCCAGCATGGCCTGGATTGGAAAAGCCCTTGGAAAATCATCAAGTCCAACCATGAACCCAACACTGACCAGTCCCCTATGACTAACCCATGTCCCTCAGCACTGTGTCTACACGACTCTTCAATCCCTCCAGGGATGGGGACTCCACCACTGCCCTGGGCAACCCCTTCCAATGCCTCAGAACCCTTTCAGCAAAGAAATTCTTCTTCACATCCCATCTCAACTGCCCTGGGCACAACTGGAGCCCATTTCCTCTTGTCCTGTCCCTTGGTTGAACAGACCCATCCCCACCTCTCTCCGCCCTCCTTGCAGGGACTTGGACAGAGCCACAAGGTCTCC